TGCCATTGTCATTATGTTTTTTATTAGCTGTTCATGGTCTTCACGCATGCACAGAACTATTTACAGTGCACATGCGAGTGCAACACCAGCGAAACAGACACAAAGCAAAACGGTACCAATGCCAGTAGGAACCCACCACTGAAGGCAAGCAAGCTGGTTAGTCCTAGAGGAGATCAACCCTGACTGCTCTTTAGAAGCCCAGTTCCTGAAGATGAAACTCAAATACTTTGGCCACCTAATGAGAAGGAAGGACTCACTGGAGAAGAGCCTAACGCTGGGAAAGATTGAGGGCAAAAGAAGAAGGGGACAACAGGGAATGAGGTGGCTGGATGGAGTCACCAAAGCAATGGACTCCAGAGGATGGTAGAGGACAGGAATGTCTAGAGGAACGTTGTCCAAGGGGTTTTGATGGACCGGACACACAACTAACAAAGAATATAATATTTAAAATATCATTAATTACTGCAGGAATCTGCTAGTTAATGTTACAGAAATGTTTTTTTAGCCCATTCTTTTCTTTCAACAATATTGTTGTCCATACTTACTGAGGTACAAAAGATGCAATTGCAACCCTGAAGAGCGGTCATCTTATCCAGTGAATATTCAGATAAGCACAGTTTACAAGTCACCAAAGACTCCAAAGACAATTCCCCAACTTCTGCTATTTCGGTTGTCATGGTGCTGAAGCAGATTTCAGTAGCAGAGGTCATCAATTTAAATACACCCGGCAATTCTACAAGATATAAATCAGAATGTACCAATGAGAATTATTTGGCAAGCTAAAATTTAACATAGCGGAATTTTAAGCAATGTATAAGTGACATCTTCCACAGCTCTGTCTTTTAACCTGTTCTTTTACTCATCAATATAGACTGTCAAATACACTGATAGGGCTAACCCGCTTATGTTTTGGGCAAGATAACACAAATATATTTCCCTCCTAATTCTACAGCAGCCTTCATCAATTCAGGTGGAGAAAACACATTCAGATAAATCAACAACATAAGCTTACCAGAAATAAATATTTTCTATCAGAAATTTTCGTAACATGCTCAAGAAGGTATAGCATGGCCCACAACTAGACAAAATGAGCCACTTCCTCAGACTCTACAACAGGGGTGTCAAACTCAAGACCCATGGGCTGAAACTGGCCTGCAAGGTGCTTAGATCTGGCCCACGGGGCCGCCCTGAAAACAGTAAAACACTGTCCCATGCTGCCTTTGTGCAGCCCTACCAAGCTCCATTTTTGGTTGCAATGGCCTCATGCAGCTTCTGCCAGGGAAAATAGAGCCCGGATGGGCCACACACGGCCCCCCGAGCTCGTTTTTGCTGGCAGATGTCTCAGCCAAAAAGGAGACTCAGGAGGCTGTCTCAGCCAAAAACGGAGCCTGGGCGGGCCACGTGCAGGTCCCCTGGGCTCTGTTTTTACTGGCAGAGGGCTGCAGGAGGCTGTTGCAGCTGAAAACAGAGCCCATTCACTGGCAGAAGCCTGCAGGAGGCTGTCACAGCCAAAAACGGAGCCTCGAAGAGTGACGTTAAGCTGACTATGCCCACCCTGTCCACATCAACCCCAACCATGCTCCCCCGGCCACNGATTGAGTCCCCCCAGGGAAAAGGGCGGCATACAAATAAACACAAATTCAAATTCAAATAACCCTTTAGAAAAAAAAACCCAGGGGTGTTTAAAATTGACAGCTTTAAGACTTGAAGTCCACAAGTCTTAAAGTTGCCAAGGGTTGGAGACCCCTGATCTAAATGATGGAAAGAGGAGCAGGCATCGAACCCCTAAGCAACAGCATCCCAGTTCCCCTGATGCCAGTTTTCACTGTAGTAAGCCTCGCTGTCATGTGCCCACCGCCACTGTACAAGAATGGAAAATTGCTCCTTTCAAACAGCAGAGGGAGCACAAAGACGCAGAAGAGGAACTGAATTCTCACATTAGCCGTTATTGTGTTCTCCCCTTTGGCAAATATTTGCTCTCATCCTTAAAGTAATATTTTGAAAGCAGGTGTTCACCGCCATAAAAATTAGATTTAAAACATAACTGGGTTCTGTTTTTAATTATTCGGTGAAGCCGCACCTAAACAATCTCATAATGATGCATGTTTCCGCTTTAGGGGAAATGTTTACACATGATAAGATTCCTATTTTTCCCTCTCTGCCTTTCAAGCGTTTGATTCATTTATTTTACAGTGAGGGATGTTTCATAGCTAGCATTAAAACAACAGGCTTCCAGGCATGTCCGAGAAATGTAATAAATACGACAGAATGATGAATAACTAGAGTAACGTTGTGAGAAGGGTGTATTACAGGGTGATGTGATAATATCTGGGTTTCTTTGGAGAAATCTTTTGAACAGCTGTAAAGAAAGAATTAGTAGGAAAACACTCGGTGTAAAATCACATTCTGGCAGTGAATAAAACTGGGGAAATAAATATTTACATATAAAGTGCCAGGGAGGCCAATACCTGAATACCTCATGAAAATATGATTCCCAGAGGATAAACAAAATCCCACATCCATTTCATGTTTTCAATGAATGCTAATGCCTTCCATGCAGTTAATATGGTATCTAGTATGACCTTAAACCCAAAACAGCTGAAATCAATAGTTAAAACATCAGGGGGTATCCTTGCATTTTTTTCCAGATCCAGTTAAAATCTGAAGGCCTTCATCCTGCTACTCATGCTATCCGAATCTCGGACTTTTTACTGAACTACAGGCAGTCCTCAATTTACAACAGTTCATTTAGCGAGCAAGGTTACAACGGCACTGAAAAAAGTGACATGACCGTTTTTCACACTCACGACCAGTGGTGGGTTTCAAATTTTCTTAGAACCTATTCTGTGGGTGTGGCCTATTTTGTGGGCGTAGCTTGGCAGTCATGTGACCAGCAGGTATGGCCAACTTGATATCACTCATGCACACTCAGTCACATGACCATCACCCCCAAGCCATGTGGCAAAAAATTTTGGGACTCCTATGAAGGGGTGGGGGAAGAGAGGGGAAAACCTCCCAAAAATAGATGGCTGGAGGATTAAGGGCTGAAATTAGAGAGATCGGAGAAGGCAGGACAGAGAGAAATCCAGTAGAAAGCTATCACATGCTGGTGGAAGAACTGTGAAAGATCGGAGGAGGCAAGACAGAGGGGAATCCAGTAGAAAGCTATCACATGCTGGTGGAAGAACTGTGAAAGATCGGAGGAGGCAAGAC